TTCTACTGACCAATTACTGAACATTTGGATGTTTCCGAATTCTTCTATCGACAGGAAGCTGAGCACACAAAATTTTCAGATCGATACTCGACTGCAAATGCAAGAACAAATTGGTGGCAGTAATGGAATAATATACAAGACGTTATTTGGTTCAAATGACTCGTGTAGTTAAAACTTGTACCCTAGCCAGGGTAGTAGTGTGATCTCCTTTTTACACCAACCATTTCAGAGAATGCATAGTTCATACCATTCATAGTTCATGCGTCCTTTGTGTTCACCACATCATTCCATCAGGAAATTGTGACATAGATATTAATCAATGCATGAAAGAACGAAGATGGCCCAATACATGTGATTCAGGCTGTTTTCCTTTGTTTTGTTTAAAACATACTTGAAACCATCGAGTATTCACTCTTCTTGGGGAACGTTATCGTACGATTAAATATAAACGGGTTAGAGTTCCGAGCAGTCCTCCTAAATTCACAAAACCTGCAGAACCAGGCATACAAACGGAATTGTAAACACCTTGTATGTTACATAAAAGCAATGGAGGATTTCGGAAACAACAGTTTCGCGTGCTCTCAGTCAACTGTCTACCCACAGTAAATAGATCGGAATGTTATAGGAAGAATACCATATATGGACATTTACATAATTACATGGGTTCAGGGGGAAAGAACTAGGTTTTGAGTCATTAGCAAAGTCATTTGGAGATGAGTGAACGAGGAGGAAAGAATAATAATTACAAAAGGTGAAGTGTCTTTGCCAGTTGTAGACAATGCGCTGTCGCATCGCCTGTTTTTGTCTTCCAAATGCAATCTGATTCTTCTGTTGAAGTCCCATCTTGAGAGCGTGGTTGATACGGTAATAAAAGTGTGGCATGATGCTTTCTCCAAAAGTACATTTTTTAATTAATTGAGTCTAGTTTTGCTAAATCAAGTTTTACAAATTCAGTCGCGAATTACAGCTCCGGAGCCAGAACTAATTAATAAAGGTGTGGTCGATATCAATAATCAATGAATCACTATCTAATGGATTCTCAACTGGTCCTGAAAAGTATGTGCATAACATGTTGCGACTAAACCTCAACAGAATACAACTAGAAGCACTGCCATTGGGTTTGAAATTTGAAATACCGAATCGAAAGATAAACAGCTTTGAAACTGGGGCACGGTTGAAAATTTGGCTGACCAGTTGGAAGAGCTTAAGCCTGTTGCACCACAGGCAGAAGGATTGCTTAGATCTAGGTTAGTGGATCTTGCTCATCAGCTGAGAGTAACGAAACCCTTCCATAACTCCATCCTAACACAAAACCATACGGAAGCCCTAAAAGAGTTGAGGAACGATGAGACTTTTGTGATCTGTCCACCGGACAACGAATCTAGAGTAGCCATTACTAACAAGGATGAATACGCGAGCAAAATGGCGATCATTCTCAATGATAGTGACCGATACCAAGTGGATCCAAAGAGGAAGGACAATACAGAGATAACACAGAAAAATATGAATGCCTTCTTTAAACAGATTCGTAAAATCGGAGTGAATACTACTAGTACGTGCAATGATGCGAGACTTCATAGAACACTAATACCCCATATTTATAGTTTACCAAAGCTTCATAAACTAGAAGTCCCTTAGGGCCCCATTCTATCAATGGTCAACTCGCCTCATCACAGATTAACTCAGTAGCTGGCTAAACAGATTAGTCCGATCCGTGTGAAAGTCTCCCATTTCAGGTTGAAAGATTCATTCCGTTTGAAGGCTACATTGCCCGATGTTGAGAACCGACATGCTTCCAATGATATTGCTTGGTTACTCACTAACGTATAAGTGGAAGAAGCCGTGGGGGGAGTCCGTAAATATGCTAATGAAATTAGAATCCAAGCAACTGAATTGAGAACCCTATTGAAATTGAGTTTCTAATGTGCAGTTTGTCTTCACTGGCACAATCTACCATCATATACATGAAGTGGCTATGAGAAGCCTACTTGCACCAAATATTAGCTGATATATTCACGTAGAAACTTGAGAACAACACTGAAAGTGATTTCTAATCCTCAGTTTCTTACCACCGTTATGTCGATAACACACGGATAATAAACTCAAATGAAACAGATGCCATGGTTCTGTTTGAAAAATTGAACGGGATATAGAACAATATCAAGTTCACCTTGGAATGTGAGACTAATGGCTCATTACCATTCCTATATCAAAAAAATAACAAGATTGAAGGACAGTACACTCCTGACGTTAGTTCATCACAAGTGTACATGGACGGGCCGGTATTTACACTTTCAAAGCTTTTGGCCTCTACGTTACAAGATTCGATTGGTAAGAACTCTGTTCTACAGAGCTCGTCGCCTATGTAGTTCGGAAGTATTAGAAAAGGAACTTAAATATTTGACTAATGCCTTGTCCACTAATGATTATCCCCTGCCTTTTTTATAAAGAAATATAGCAAACCTACCGTCCCCAGGTCAACGTACAGTATAGTTGAAAAGAAATCAATTTTCATTGATGTATTGTTCAAAGGAGACGATATAATTTCACGGGTTTGTCGTTGAATTCGTACTACAGTTGAGTCTGCTTTTCCTACCGCAAAGTTGATCATGACTCGCATGACAATCAACTCACCATTTCGGTCAAACACACAGATCCAACGATTCAATCACCTCCAATTGCGTTTATCTTTTTTACTGTACTTTCGGTTTGCGGTACGTCGGATGGCCTGAACGCCGGTTTTCGACCAGAATGAATGAGCAAATTCCGTGTTATCCTTAAACTTTAAAGGCCAAGGATGCTTAGATTTGTCGACGCAGTTGCTATTAGCCGTTTAAAGACTAAATTATGCATGCAAAAGGCCTCCGTGATGCAGTTGCTGTTAACATGATAACTTCATTGACACTTCATCCTTCTCAGTTCCATATTACGTAAATTTTTGGCCCACTTAAATGACGAATTTTCTACTCTGTTACCTTTCTACGTCCTTTCTAATTTATTTCTGGTTGCATCTGTTTCATATTACGTAAACATTCACAACTCTTTCCTCTATGGTTATTCATTTTCGATTACGCAACTGTTTCTATGCTATCATTCCCTTTCTTCTGAATCTTTATGCTTTTTATCCCCACCTCTTTTACTCACCCCCAAATGACTTTGGTGAGGACTCAACAACCCAGTTCTTTCCACCTGAACCCGTGCAATTGTGTGACTGTCCACATATCGTATTCTCTTATAACATCTCGACCTATTTAATATTTCGTAGACAGCTGATTTAGAGCATGCAAAGTTGATGGCCAGTATCAATTCTGTTCATGTTGTTTTACTTGATTTATTCAAATATAGGGTTTTATGGGATTATATGGTAAATTCATTTCTGTGTAGAGCAAATAAATCTTAAACTGAGAAGTTGAGAAACACCAGACAGCTGTTGTGACCTGAGTGGGTTTCATCAGTAGAATAAATCCATCAATCGAACTGGAGATCTAACCCATAGAGAAAGAAATATTGAACTGTTGTACGGAATGCAAAAGGTAAGGAAGCAGGAGAAAAAGAAATATCTAGATTGATGCATATGAATGTTTTTTTTCTTAAATATATCTATCGTTGAAAAAGCGAAATCTCTTCTCTTTTTGTTTTAATTGGTCTAGATTGTGATGGTGTTGATAAGGATAGCCACAATCTCCTCCGGTCTATACACCACAGTTTCATGCGATTTTGCCTCCAGCTTTATCAGTTAATTTATTCCGCTCAGGTGCTGGATATCTAAATCAAAGGTTTACTGCTTTATAAGCTACTAATTTTGCAAACTTTTCCACTAAAGCCAATAATATTTCCACACCTCAACCACTAGAAAATGTTTCTCGAATACCATTGGAAGTCTATGAAATTTAAGCAGCTTTCTTATTCATAGAAATTTTCCAAAATAATGGCCATCTAACATGACAGTTCGCGTTTTCATACAACCTTATAGTTTTGGTGGGTTAATAAGTATGGAAGTATCATACCTGTAGCTGACAAGGCTCACGCTCTGCAACTGAGTCCTGACTCTTTTAGAATTTGATGAAGTAACCCACACCGGAAAACCGTCCGAACAAAACAACTTTCTAATGTATTGATCTTTTTGGATTAAATTAATCTTAAAATGTTCACAGTAAATAAAATAGTTTTGACCCAAACAGATGCGATTGTGGGTATTCTCAAAGATTTGCAGTGCGTGTGATAAAAATAAAAGCCAACTTTCTTGTAGTTTTATTCGGATTACCTCATTTATGAACAATTTAGATAGAAACCGTCTGAGATCTTTTTAATCAAACAAAATCTCATAAGTCACTTCCCCAGAGGGAAAAATACCACATCTAAAGTTTGATAACTCCATAATTTGTCTTCCCTAGAAAAGCAATTATTCAATAGTTGTTAAATCTAATATTTAATTTCTGATATAGTGAAATATGCCTTTTATGGAACTTTACTTTAAATTTATTAAGACCAAGGTCTGGG